CTTTGCTTTAGAGAATGAGCTCACATTGTCTCCTCCAACCTCCAGAACACAACTATGGTGGTGTATTGCCATTTTTAAAAGATTTATTTTATTTATTTGAAAGACAGAGTTGCAGAGAGAGGTTGAGACAGAGAGAGAGAGAGAGATCTTCCATCCACTGGTTCACTCCCCAACTGGCCACTAAGGCCAGAGCTGCACCCATCTGAAGTCAGAAACCAGGAGTTTCTTCTGGGTCTCCCATGTGGGTGCAGGGGCCCAAGGACTTGGGCCATCTTCTACTGCTTTTCCAGGCCACAGCAGAGAGCTGGATCATAAGTGGAATAGCTGGGAATCAAACTGGTGCCCACATGGGATGCCAGTGCTTCAGGCCAGGGCTTTAACCAACTGTGCCATAGCGCCTGCCCTGGTGTATTGCCATTTTGAGAAAAGGGTCACTCGTGAGATATATAACTAAGGAATAGCAGCTCTTACATATTCCCATCTCCAAGATCCACAGACATCCCACCTCAACAGCAAAAAGGATCAAATCTTCACAATTCCAACTAGACCCACCAGCAACCATGACCCCATCACCTCAGCTGAAGCAGTGTCCTGCACTTACAGGGGTTAGGTAGTTCAGTATAGCAGGGCAGTTCTGCTCCCAGGACATTAGAAGAGGTGGCGCATGGCTCTGAAACCTTGGGGCCCATACTTATACACTCCTACCTTCCCTTCAGAGTAGCAAACAGCCACAGAAACCCAAATGCTCCCGCTGTGATCCAACACTACCAATATACTCAGTCTACATCCTGTCAACACAGGTAGCTGAGCACACCAGCCCCACACCTGGGCCTGACTCACTACTGGCTCATTTCTGCTCCTGCCCCTACCTCAGCATTCACAGGTGCCCTGCTGGACTTAGGCCTGGTTGTTTACAAATCTTTCACTGCCCAATTCCTTAGCTGTGGGTAGCCATGCATTGCCTTGGATGTGGGCCTGATTCCTCCGTGGCTTCATTTCCACCCCATCCCAGCTGAAAGTAGTTGCCCTAGACTTGGGCCTTGTTCTGCTGCAGGTCTGTTCCTGTCCAGCCTTAGTGGGCGTGGGAAGCCATGTATTCTTGCCATACTTCAGTCCAGTATTGCCATTACCTCAGGCACTGACACCAGGACCTGAACATATCTTTTGGGACTGAAAAGAGACCCCCATGTTCTTGCCACTATAGCCATTGATTACAGTGGAAGACTACACTCCAGTGTCCAACTGGAACTTAAGCCAAAGTAACAAAACAATAACCCAAGACACAGTTTCAGGAAAAAGCCTTTAATTCAACAAAGCACCCTCTAATGGTAACAGAGACAGCTGATCTTCTAGAATCCAAATATCAGCAGAAAGACACAAAAAGTGTGAAAAAGCAGGATAATTTGATGTCTCAAAAATAATACAACAGTACTTTAGTTTCGTCTGAGTGGAGTCTTCCAAAGAAATGGTAAATGATGAAATGCCTGACAAATAATTCAAAAGAATGATTCTAAGAATATTCAAAAAGATATGAGAGAATACAGCTGAATGAAATTAAGAAACCAATGCATGATTTAAATATAAAATTCAGCAAAGAGATAGAGATCTCTTTTTCAAAAACCAAGCAGAAATCTTAGAAATTAAAAACTCAGAAAATAAAAAAAAAGAGTTGAAAGTCTCAACAATAGATTAGAAGAGCAGACGGAAGAATATCTGAATGTAAAAACAGATCTTATGAACTGAATAAAGAAACCAATGAATAAAGACAATTCTGAGAGTTCAGGACTACAATTAAATAAAAATACTTGAATTTTTTAAACTTTCAGGAGAAAAGAGAGGACAAAGTCATAGAAGACCAATTAGGGGCAGGCACTGTGGCACAGCGGGTTAAGCTGTGATCTTCAGTGCTCACATCCCACATGGGCACCAGTTCAAGTCCCAGCTGCTCCACTTCTGATCCAGCTCCCTGCTAATGTGCATGGGAAAGCAGCAGAAGATGGCCCAAGTGCTCTGGCCCCTGCTACCCATGTGGGACAACCATATAAAGCTCCTGGCTCCTGGCTTTGGCCTGCCCTTGCTCTGGCCATTGCGGCCATTTGGGAAGTTAACCAGTGGGTAGAAGATCTCTATCTCCCTCTTTCTTTGTAATTCTGACTTTCAAATAAGTATTTTTTTAAAGAAGACCAATTAAATGAGACAGTAACTGAAAACTTCCCCAATATGGAGGAAAATATCAGGTATAACAGGTCTTTGGACCCTGAATAGACAGGATGAGAAAACAGTCTCACCACAGTAAATTATAATCAGACTTTGGGGACTGGAGCAAGATATTGGCTGAGCAAGATGCTCTGATGACCATTTCTCCAGATAGACACCAATGTGAACAATTACTAATACACCACACCTCTGCAAAAGATCTATAGAAGCCAGGTGAGGGACCACAGCACTTGATTTATTGTAATAAGGAAAGTAATATTGAAGGAGGTGGGAAGAGAAGAGTTGTCAAATAGTGTGGAGAGAGATGCTTCTCCTCCAGCTTGCAAGAAGCATAGAAAATTAAGCCCAGTCTTTAGACTACATAATCCCAGAGCCAGAAACAGCATAATAAAATTCAGAGTCAGGTCAGGCCCTAAAGCCCCAAGGCCTATAAAAGCGGACTGAATATTTGGGCAGCCTGAGGTCTGTCTCTGTAACCCATTCTCCACCTTCTAGCTAAAAGCAGCTGCTGGGGAGTAGGGCAGGAGAGGGAGCTTAACACCATGCCCTGGACCTGCCCATTTTACCACTCCTGCAACCTTATGCAGATAGCAGCTGATCAAAGCAGTGTATTGAGAGTCAGTGCTATGTTGGTACAACTCGACATTGACTAGATATTAATGGTGTCTGTCCCCAAGCCAGTGTCTTTAGAGGGAGCCCCTGGACCTTCTCTGGTACCACATGGAGGTCCATGGCTAGAGCTGATTATCTTATGTGCTAGCTGTCATCAGTAGTGGCTTATAGGAGTGGCCTCAGGTCGAGTCTACTTCAACAGGGGAGAGACCATAAAAGGGTGGACTTCAGTCCTACCCCAGGATGCACTTGTATCAGAAGGCTGTGGGTCCTGAATAATCTAACAACATGGCATTGGTGACCACAACACTAGGCATCTGGGTCTACGCAGCCCCAGGAGGAGGAGGAGATTTGTAGGGATGGACTATCTCTTTGCAGACACTTCCCCAGCTCATCCTGGACAATATATCAAATAGGTTTATGCAATAAATCTGAGTTTGGGGCATATTTTAGGACTGAAACAATGGAAACATCAACAGTAGACCTATGGCAAATTCCATCTTATAGCACCATCTAGTGCTGAAATAGTAGAAGTGCCCACAGCCTCAGAGAAACAAATTAGTTTTGGAAGGACAGCTGCAGATGCACACAGATTACAACTGATACTTCAGTGCACAATGTCATATACCAAGTTTCAAGAACTTCCAGGGAGCCATGGCCTCACATAATAAACAAAATACATCAGAAACCAACCATTTAACAATAGACATTTTCAAATACTCAGAAGAAAACTTCAAAATACCTGTTTTAAGGGAACTCAGAGAAATTCCAGAGAACACAAAGAAATGATTTAATTTTCTGATAGAGGTACTTGACAGAGCAATGGAAATAGTTATAAAAAATTAAACAAATCCTTCAACTGAAAAGTACACTAATTGAAATTTAAAATGTGCTAGAAGACATTAACAGCAGAATAAACAAAAGAATCAGTGAGCCCTAAAACAGACTCACTGGAGAAAATGAATCAAATGAATGAAGAAAGCACATTAAAATTTGGGGACAGTATGAAAAGAGCAAATAACTGAGTTATTGGGTTTCTTTTTTTTTTCTTTTCAACTTTTATTTAATAAATATAAATTTCCAAAGTAGAGCTTTTGAATTATAGCAGTTTTCCCCCCATAACCTCCCTCCCACCTATAAAAATCCTATCTTCCACTCCCTCTCCCATCCCATTCTTCACCATGATTCATTTTCAATTATCTTTATATATAGAAGATCAACTTAGTATATACTAAGTGAAGATTTCAACAGACTGCACTCACACAGACACACAAAGTATAGAGTACTGTTTGAGTAGTAGTTTTAGCATTAATTGTCATAGTACAACACATTAAGGGCAGAGGTCCTACATGGGGAACAGGTGGACAGTGACTCCTGTTGTTGATTTAACAATTGACACTCTTATTTATGATGTCAGTAATCACCGGAGGCTCTTGTCATGAGCTGCCAAGGCTATGGAAGTCTTTTGAGTTCACCAACTCTGATCTTATTTAGACAAGGCCATATTCAAAGTGGAAGTTCTCTCCTCCCTTGAGGGAAAGGTACTGCCTTCTTTGATGGCCCATTCTTTATGCTGGGATCTCACTCATGGAGATCTTTCATTTAGGTAATTTTTTTTTTTTGCCACAGTGTCTTGGCTTTCCATGCCTTTGAAACTCTCATGGGCTTTTTAGCCAGATCTGAATGCCTTAAGGGCTGATTCTGAGGCCAGAGCGCAGTTTAGGGCTTTTGCTATTCTATGAGTCTACTGTTTATCCTGCTTCCCATGTAGGATCATTCTCTCCTTTTTAATTATATCAATTATTTGCAGACACTGGTCTTATTTATGTAATTCCTTTGACACTTAATCCTATCTTTTTGATCAATTATGATCTTAAACTGATCACTTTGACTAGTGAGATGGCATTGGTACATGCCACCTTGATGGGATTGAATTGGAATGCCTTGGTACGTTTCTAGCTCTGTCATTAGGGGTAAGTCCGAGTGAGCATGTGCCAAACTGTACATCTCCTTCCTCTCTTATTCCATTATATTTTTATTTAACAGGGATAACTTTTCAGTTAATTTTAAGTGCCTAAGAATAATTGTGTCTTAATTAAAGAGTTCAAACACTGGTATTAAGTAGAAAAAAAAAACACTAAAAGGAATAAAATAGTAAGTTGTTCCTTGACAGTCAGGACAAGGGCTTATTAAGACATTGTTTTTCATAGTGTCCATTTCACTTCAACAGGGTTCCTTTTAGGTGTTCGGTCAGTTGTCACCGATCAGGGAGAACATATGATATTTGTCCCTTTGGGACTGGCTTATTTCACTCAGCATTATGTTTTTCAGATTGCTCCATTTTGTTGCAAATGACAGGATTTCATTTTTTTACTGCTGTATAGTATTCAGTAGAGTACATGTCCCATAATTTCTTTATCTAGTCTTCTGTTGATGGACATTTAGGTTGATTCCATGTTTTAGCTATTGTGAATTGAGCTGTAATAAACATTGAGGTGCAGATAGCTCTTTTACTTGCCAATTTAATTTCCCTTGGGTAAATATTGAGGAGTGGGATGGCTGGGTTGTATGGTAGGGCTATATTCAGGTTTCTGAGGAATCTAAAAACTGACTTCCATAGTGGATTAACCAGTTTGCATTCCCACCAACAGTGGGTTAGTGTCCCTTTCCCCCCACATCCTCGCCATCATCTGTTGTTGGTAGATTTCTATATGTAAGCCATTCTAACCAGGGTGAGGTGAAACCTCATTGTGGATTTGATTTGCATTTCCCTGATGGCTAGTGATCCTGAACATTTTTCCATGTTTCTATTGGCCATTTGGATTTCCTCTTTAGAAAAATATCTATTGAGGTCCTTGGCCCATATCTAAAATGGGTTGTTTGTTTTGTTGTTGTGGAGTTTCTTGAACTCTTTGTAGATTCTGGTTATTAATCCTTTATTGGTTGCATAATTTGCAATTTTTTCCCATTCTGTTGATTGCCTCTTCACTTTCCTGACTGTTTCTTTTGCAATACAGAAACGTCTCAATTTTATATAATCCCAGTTGTTAATTTTGGCTTTGATTGCCTGTGCCTCTGGGGTCTTTTCTAAGAACTCTTTGCCTGTGCCTATATCTTGCAGGGTTTCTCCAATGTTCTCTAATAATGTGATGGTGCCAGTTCATAGATTTAGATCTTTAATCTATGTTGAGTGGATTTTTGTGTAAGGTGTTAATGTACGGGTCTTGTTTCATGCTTCTGCATGTGGAGATCCAGTTTTCCCAGCACCATTTGTTGAATAGACTGTCCTTGTACCAGGAATTGGTTTTTGTTTCTTTGTCAAAGATAAGTTGGTTGTAGATGCATGGGTTAATTTCTGGCATTTCTATTCTGTTCCATTGGTCTATCCATCTGTTTCTGTACCAGTACCATGCTGTTTTGATTATAACTGCCCTGTAGTATGTCCTGAAATCTGGTATTGTGATGTCTCCAGCTTTGTTTTTGTTGTACAAGGTTGCTTTAGCTTTTCGATGTCTCCTGTGCCTTTATATGAATTTCAGCATCAATTTTTCCAGATCTGAGAAGAATGTCCTTGGTATTTTGATTGGTATCGCATTGAATCTATAAATTGCTTTTGGTTATATGGACATTTTGATGATGTTGATTCTTCAAATGCATGAACATGGAAGATCTTTCCAGTTTTTGGTGGCTTCTTCTATTTCTTTCTAATGTTTTGTATTCTAATTGTAGAGATATTTGACATCTTTGGTTAAATTTATTCCAAGGTATTTGATTGTTTTTGTAGCTATTGTGAATGGGATTGATCTTAGCCATTCTTTCTCAGTCATGGCATTGCCTGCATATACAAAGGCTATTGATTTTTGTGCACTGATTTTATATCCTACTACTTTGCCAAACTCTTCTAGAGTTCTAATAGTCTCTTAGTAGAGTTCTTTGGATCCCCTAAATAAAGATTCATATCATCTGCGAAGAGGGATAATTTGACTTCTTCCTTCCCAATTTGTATTCCTTTGATTTCTTTTTCTTGTCTGACGGCTCTGGCTAAAACTTCCAGAACTGTGTTAAATAGCAGTGGTGAGAGTGTGCATCCCTGTATGGTACCAGATCTCAGTGGAAATGCTTCCAACTTTTCCCCATTCAATAGGATGCTGGCTATGTTTTTTTTTTTTTTTTTTTTTTTTTTTTTTTTTTTTTTTTTTTGCCAGGCAGAGTTAGGCAGTGAGACAGAGAGAGAGAGACACACACAGAGAGAGTTATAGACAGTGAGAGAGAGACAGAGAGAAAGGTCTTCCTTTCGTTGGTTCACTCCCCTAATGGCCTCCATGGCCGGCACTGTGCCGATACGAAGCCAGGAGCTGGGTACTTCCTCCCAGTCTCCCATGCAGGTGCAGGGACCCAAGCACTTGGGCCAACTTCCACTGCCCTCTCGGGCCACAATAGAGAGCTGGACTGGAAGAGGAGCAACCCGGGAGTAGTACCTGGTGCCCCAACTGGGACTAGAACCCAGGGTTCCAGTGCCGCAGGCAGAGGATTAGCCAAGTGAGCCACAGCACCAGCCAACCATGGGTTTTTCATAAATTGCTTTGATTTATTGAGGAATGTTTCTTCTATACCCAATTTGCTTAGAGTTTTCATCATGAAAGGGTGTTGTAGTTTATCAAATGCTTTCTCTGCATTTATTGAGATAATCATATGGTTTTTCTTCTGCAGTTTGTTAATGTGGTGTATCACATTGATTGATTTGTGAACATTGAACCATCCCTGCATACCAGGGATAAATCCCACTTGGTCTGGGTGTGTGATCTTTCTGATGTGTTGTTGCATTCTATTGGCCAGTATTTTATTGAGGATTTTTGTGTCTATGTTCATCAGGAAAATTGGAGGAAAACTGGTCTGTAATTCTCTTTTTCTGCTGCATCTTTTTCAAGTTTAGGAATTAAGTGATACTGGCTTCATAGGAAGAATTTGGGAGGATTCCCTCTTTTTCAATTGTTCTGAATAGTTTGAGAAGAATTGGAGTTAGTTCTTTAAATGTTTGGTAGAATTCAGCAGTGAATCCATCTGGTCTTGGGCTTTTCTTTGCTGGGAGGGCCTTTATTACTGATTCAATGTCTGACTTGGTTATGGGTCTGTTCAGGTTTTCTTTTTTTTTTTATTATTTTTTTGACAGGCAGAGTGGACAGTGAGAGAGAGAGACAGAGAGAAAGGTCTTCCTTTGTCGTTGGTTCACCCTCCAATGGCCGCCGCGGCCGGCGCACTGCGGCCTGTGCACCGCGCTGATCCGATGGCAGGAGCCAGGTACTTATCCTGGTCTCCCATGGGGTGCAGGGCCCAAGCACTTGGGCCATCCTCTACTGCACTCCCTGGCCACAGCAGAGAGCTATGCTTTGAACTTCTTGTGATCTTTTACTTAGAGATTTTCTTCCTTTACCTTCTTTTGTATTGATGGCCGTGTTTCTGTGTGTAACACATCTTTAAGCATCTTTTGCAGGGCTAGACGAGTGGTGACAAATTCTTTCAATTTATGTTTGCGACGAAAGGTCTTTATTTCACCTTCATTCACAAATGAGAGCTTTGCAGGATATAATATTCTGGGCTGGCAGTTTTTTTCTCTTAGTACTTGGGCTATATCTTGCCATTCCCTCCTAGCCTGTAGTGTTTCTTTTTTTCTTTTTCTTTTTTTTTTTGACAGGCAAAGTTAGACAATGAGAGAAAGAGACAGAGGGAAAGGTCTTCCTTCCATTGGTTCACCCCTAATGGACACTACAGCTGGTGCACTGTGCCAATCCAAAGCCAGGAGCCAGGTGCTTCCTCCTGGTCTCCCATGTGGGTGCAGGGCCCAAGGACTTGGGCCATCCTCCACTGCACTCCCTGGCCACAGCAGAGAGCTGGACTGGAAGAGGAGCAACTGGGACAGAACCGGCGCCCCAACCGAGACTAGAACCTGGAGTGCCAGCGCCGCAGGCGGAGGATTAGCTTAATGAGCCATGGTCCTGGCCAGCCTGTAGGGTTTCTAATGAGAAGTCTGCTGTGAGTCTGATTGGAGATCCTCTGAGAGTAATCTGACGTTTCTCTCTTGCATATTTTAGAATCTTTTCTTTATGATTCACTGTGGTGAGTTTGATTACAATGTGTCATGGTAAGGATCTCTTTCAGTCATGTTTATTGTGGGTTCTATTACTTCTTGTACTTGGATGTCTCTTTCCTTCTCCAAACCCCAGAAGTTTTCGCTAGTATCTCACTAAAAATGCCTTCTAATCCTTTCTTCCTCTCCATGCCTTCAGGAACTCCTAGAACCTGAATGTTGGGTGTTTAAATAGTATCCTGTAGATTCCCAACAATATTTTTTAGATTTCTAATTTCCTCTTCTTTTCTTTGGTTTGACTGTATATTTTCCTGTGCTCTGTCTTTGAAGTCTGATATTCTGTCTTCTGCCTCACTGATTCTATTTTTAAGGCTCTCAAATGTGTTTTTCATTTGTTCTATTGAATTCTTCATTTCATTTTGGTTTCTCTTCAATATCTCAATTTCTTGTTCTACTAAAATTTCTCTTTTCATTTTGATTCCTCCTTAAGATTTCATTTTCATGAGAGAGGTTTTCTGTCCTGCCCTGTATGGATTTCTGTAGTTCATGCATTTTTGTGATAACTTCTAAATGTTCTTATCATAAATTTTTGAAATCCATATCTTGCATTTCTTCTATATCATCATCTTCATAATCTTGGAGTGTCATATTCATTTGGGAGCGTTATGATGTCTTCCTTGTTCTTGTTTCCTCAGTTTCTGCATATGTTGTTGGCATTGTGGAGATATTCTTTAGTTTCTTCTTCTTCTTTTTTTTTTTTTTTTTGCTGTGGTGGTTTTTCTCATTATACTATGACTCTAGATTAAGTGGACTGTCTGCTTTTGCTGAATCTCTAGAGACTTGTGGTGGGTGTGGCCAGAGAGCTCTGTTCAGTTCTTTAGGGTTAAGGGTGTGCCAAAAGAGACACACCCAAGTTTGCTGTAGTAAATCTCTTTTTTTTTATTCAGAAGGGAATTAATTCCACTCAGCTGAACTCTTCTCCTCATGGCAATCAGTGCCTTAGCGTTAGCCCCGGTGGGTATAGTATTTGTCTGCTCTGTCCCAAGGACCACACAAAGGATCTGTGCAGTCCTCAGTGTAAGCTCAGATTCCCCTGCAAT